ATGAGGAGATGTACAAGAAAATTAAAAACATGTACTTAGGGCTGTGAAAGGAGAGAATTGATATTTTTGAGTTCCAAATTCAGCAGAAGCAATATAGTTGAATGATGAGGCATACCTTTAACAAAGCAAATGAAAACCCCAATGGATATACATACAACAACAACAAACAATAAAGAATAGATCTGGCCTGCATGGCTCAGTGGTTGAGCATGAACCTATGAACCAGGAGGTCATAGTTTGATTCCTGGTCAGGGCACATGCCTGATGGACATAATTACCAAGAAGAAGTACATGGGAGGCTTTTGGTGTGCTGGTCATGCTAGATATCTTGCAGGCTTGATCCCCAGGAGTTGGTGTGCAGGAGGCAGCCAATCAATGATTCTCATCATTAATGTTTCGCTCTCTCTCCCTCTCTCTTCCTCTCTGAAATCAACAAATATATATATTAAAAAAAGAATAGAGGTAACAGAGAAAAAAAGTTGTAAACATAAGTAAATAATTAAAAGTAGGCTAAGTAACATATTAATAGAAAAACAAAAAATATAACATTTTCATTCTCATCCAGTACCACCTTTTCATTTATAAGCTGTCTTTATATGTGTGTATGCAGTTATGCGTTGCCTTTATTTAGAACATAACTGTTATAGTTAATAAAATATATAGTATCTAAGAGGTTTATAAAGTCATTTCTCACCTCAGTGGCTTCTACAGCATTTCCCCAGAGGATCAAAATGTTAGGCCGTGAAGGTGGTTTTCTGGCCTTGAACTCCCGTGAGCTGGAGGGAAGATACTGAGGCCTCCCTGTAGATACACAGGGAAAGGGTGGGGGTGACCTCACTATTTCCAGGTTCACTTAAATGAAGGTAATAAACAAGAGACCCTCACATGTCCTCCCCATTTAGAAAGCACTTGGAAGTCGGGTGGCCACATAACATGCTTTTTTGTCAGTAGGAAAAAAGACAGGGACAGTAAGGACCTAACCAAAGTCACCTTTTAAGAGTCCATTTCTCCGGGGAGTTCAAGGAATTTGCAAACATGTGCAAATCCACCATTTTCTCAGTGAGAGGAAGTGCCGGATTCCTTTTCGTGAGAGAGCTACTCATTGAATAGAAAAGCTAAGACATCCATAATAATAAAAGCATAATATGCAAATCAATCAAATCACCAAACAGCAGAATGACCTTCTGGACAACCTTTTAGATGACCACGCTACGACACTAACTGGTACCAGACCAGCCAAGGTTGGTGTGATGTGATTGGTGAGGGGTCAGGCCATTGCCACATGATTGACCTGTAGAGGGAGGCCCAAGCCACTGGCTAGCAGAGTGATGGATAAATTGGGGGACTCCATGATCGCCCCCAAAGGGGAGGCCCAGGCTATCCTGTGGTGGTGCTGCAGTGAGTAGCCTGGGCCTCCTTCTGCAGGGGCAATCCATGGAGGAGCCCTGGCTGGGTGGGCAAGGCCTACCTCTTAGGGGAGATTGATCATGGGGCTCCCAAACTGAGAGGGCACAGGCCAGGCTCAGAAACCCCACCCCCAAGTGCATGAATTTTGTGCACTGGATCTCTAGTACTAGTATAAGCTTTGTTCCCGTGACAACAAAGCCACCATCTGATTATAGTTCTGATTTTATTCACAACCACTATGTAAATATGACAGCTTTTAAGGAGTAAAATAGTGTGATTATTCTTTAAAATCTGGCTTGCTGGAATTTTCACAATCCTGTCATAAAAAAATTATTAAAATTCTGGTGGTCAGTGATTCTTTCTATGCACACTAGAAGGCAGAGATTTCTTGGTATGTATTTGAGGCACTCACAGGACTATGTGTGAACCAGGGCATCAATATAGTTGCTACAAGAGTAAAAGGATAAAGCATAAAAAATATACTGTAAAGAGAAAAAACAGTCAAAATATTCTTGGTAGCCTGGTTTGGCTCAGTGATTAGAGTGATGGCCTATGGATTGAAGGGTCCCAGATTGGATTCCTGTCAAAGGTATGTACTCTCTTGCAGGCTTGATCCCCAGCCCTTCTCGAGAATATGTGGGAGGCAACCAATTGATATGTCTCTCTTACATTGATGTCTCCTTTTTTGTCTATCCCTATAAAAATTAATGAAAAAATATCCTTAAGTAAGGATTAACAAAACACACACACACGCACACACACACACACACACACACACACACACACACTAATCCTGGATCCTGGTAGTATTCCTACTCTGCTAATGTCCATTGATTATTATATTCCAACTTTTTTTGGATGCTAATATCCTATGAACTGATAAATCATCGCTACTGATTTAGAAATTACCAAACCATTTATGGGGAAAATATACCTCAAAACGTTTTAACTTTAGTCAGTAATGAGCTCACTCCCACTGCTGAAATGATTTTCCATGATGTTTCAAATTCCCATCAGTTTCATTTTAAATTTCCTAAGTTGCCAGCTCCCCGATCACATATTCAGTTCACATCTTCCTACTTTGTGAACTTCCACTGTGCCTCCATCCCCCACTCAATTATAAGTTCTCTTATTTTGCCTTGCCCTGTTGACTGGAATTTACTGCTCCGGGCTTCTACCCTTCTGCTTATGGAAGGCTCAAGGATTATTTATTGAGCCTCACTAGTATATCTAAATTTGTCACATTTTTTCCCCTGTCTCTTATAGTCTGAAATGGAGAGGCTGTTTACCTCAATCGATGACTGAAAACAGCAGCTCATGGAAACTAGTTTGAAGCAAATTCCCAAGTAACAGACTTGGCAGCATTCCATTACCTTTGATTATAAAAGGGCAAAATTAATGGGCAGTTCATGAGGCTATGTGACAGAGAGGTGACGGGGAGTCACTGTGATTCAAATGGCAGAAGTCAAAGGGTTGTTTATCCTAGCTGCCATGTCAGTCTCTCTTTCATCAGATGTAAAAACTGTCTGACTCTGGCAGCCCACTGCAGTGAGCCCTTCCTTCTAGACCACTTAGTCGCATCTCTGGTGTTTGGGAAAGTAATCTTTAATGAATGCTAATCAAGTTTCTAATTATAATATCTTAATGTTTGTGTATCAGATGAAAGGCAAACATTTTGGGGCCAGTCACAAAGGACATGAATAATTTTTCTTAGAAGCTTAATTAATGAGTTGTGTTGCTCTACAATATCTTGAAAATTTGAACTGCCATCATTTCATTAATTTAGATAAAAGTGAGTTTTCGGCATTTAATGATGACATGTTGAAAATGATGATAAGTTGCAAAGTTTTTAATCATGCACATTTATTTAACAGAGACAATAATAACACATTCTGAGGATATTTGGGGTATGTGGGGTTCTGGAATCATGTAGGGTGTAGGAGGCAAGGATGGAGCTCCAAACTATCGTGTTTCCTGCTAACAGGATATATTCCTTTACTCTTCAGTAGCTACTCTTCAGCTCATGGTCAGGCTAGAGAGAGAGATAAATCTTTAAGCATATAATCATACCTTATTTTAAGTAATTATACCTTATTTATCGAATTTACTCAAGTAGATAAAGCATGAAATGTAAGTTCCTTACCTTAAGGTCTGGTGCTATACTTTTAAATAAAACTTTTCCTTTCATCAAAAGTTGGGAGTGCATGCTTCCTCTTTGAATAAAGAATGGATTAATCCATTAGATATAAGATAGTAAAGAGAAGGGATTTATCAGGTGACATATTTAAGGCCATTGGCTTGATTTGGGGAAAGAGAGATTATGTTTCATGACTGAGGTGGCTGGAATTTCAGAGGAGAATAGTCATCCATCCTTAGGTAATCAAATTGGAATACTGGAGGGTAGCCACGCTAGTTAACCAAATGTAAATCTTGTAGCATTGCCAGTGGGGTTAACCAAGTATAGATTTGTAACATGGCTCTGGTCATTTGGTGGTGGTGCTTTAGAAATACCATCATATTTAAGAAAAAAACAAAACAAAACACAGTGATGAGTGTTTGAAGGTCTTAGAGATCGGAATGTAATCAATTATCAAAAAGCAGATTTGATATATCAAAAGCAAGTTGATTTCTTTACCTTCAGAAGTCAAACGCTTCCCCCCTCATGGGTTGCTGATAAATATTTAGTGCCACAGAAACACAAATAAATAATTGGCCATCCCCAATGCATTAGGCATAATTTACAAACATCAAAAGACTCTACAGTCAGAGTCAAACTATTTTATTTACTACAAATAAAAAAAATCATCAGATGACCCAAGTCAGCAATGTATTAATGGGCCAGATGTGTGTGTGTGTGTGTGTGTGTGTGTGTGTAACTTTTTAAATTTAAGGGTTTGAGGATTAAGGATTATGTATTAAATTATTTGCTATTGGGATTGACCTGGAAAGATTAGAAGATTATTATGTGTGTACATTGATGAAAATCTTTATGAAAATGAAAATATTAAAATGACTTGGGCTTATGTTATCCAAAACCATCCCAAGGTCAAGTTTTAATAAAAATATTATTCATAAAAAACATGATCCCCCATCTTTAAGATTATTATTTTTTAATCACTGTGAAGGACCAATTAACAATTGATTTGGTTCTGCCTTTATGCTGGGTTTTTGTTCTTCTTTAACAGATAGCCTGTCAAAGGAAGGATAGCACAAAATTGGGTTTTATTCCACCCATGATAAACAAAGAGATAGATCTTTGTTGCATACAGCACTTTTTTTTATTCTGTCTAATGGACTTTATTAATAAAATAAAGCTTTCTTTATCAGGGAAACCTTTTAATGATTCAGAGCAAGACTCCAGCAAATGGTGTTTGGAAGAATAATCTACACTTTTTTTTAAGCAGGGAAGCCCTGGCTGTTTTTTCTCATTGAGTGGTCAGACTTCATAGCCACCATGTTGAAACCACACCCTTCCCTCCTCCCCCTCCCCACAAGGGGGGAGTTGAAACAGACACTCATGCTTTCAAGAACAGTTGAGTTGCACGTTACAATGAAATGCCCTGAATGCTGATGTTATCTTTTCCTTCCCATAGGGAACCACAGTCAGATATCACGAGTACCTGTTGCTATTAAAGTGCTGGATGTCAATGACAACGCCCCTGAATTCGCATCCGAATATGAGGCATTTTTATGTGAAAATGGAAAACCCGGCCAAGTAAATATCTCCATGTTGTTAATGCTGATATGTTTGTATGCAACTGTCTCCTATTTGACTAACCTGCGTGAGAGTGTGCACCTGCCTTCTTTTCGGTCCGCAGAATCACAGGCAAGAAACCTCCGGGTGGAAACAGAGAGGGATTGTTTTTCTTTCCTCGCTAAGTAGGACTAGATTGGCTCAGGGAGTGGAACAGCCTGCTGTGCTGTGACCCCAGAGCCAAAGAACTAACTTATGCTATTCCAGGGTCTGGATGAGAGCAGGGAAGGGGCCCACAGAGTAGCCTTCAAATGACAGGAAGCAAGGGGGAAGCTCATGGGGAGGGAATGCTTGGCTCACGTCAAACGTAGAAATAACACAGAACAGTGGGACCCGGGTCAACAGCTCTCTGAGGGTGTAGGAAGTGAATTTTGAAATCTGTAAAAATGTAGTTAATTCATCTTGACATAAGATAAACAAGGGGTCTTAGACATGTAACTCTAGTATCTGATAATTGTGTGTTGATGGAATTTTTTTTTTTACCTGTTTCATGTAGTATAAATAGAAACAATTAAGAAAGGGGGTGAGGTAGAGGGCAGAGAGGTAAGGAGGTGGGAGGGAGAAAAAAAGGGAGGAATGGAGAGAAGGAGGGAGTGGTGAGGGTGAGAGGAAGAAGGTGTAGGGAGGAAGGGAAGTTATGAGGGAAGGTTGGAGGAAGAGAGTTGTAAGCAAGAACAAAACAAAACAAAACCTGCTATATATACTCTGAATGTCCAAATGGAAATAGTGTATGTAAAGTTCTGAAAAACACAAATGTAATAGATTTATCTGAACAAGGTACCAAAGTACTGTATGTTTAAGAAATTTATCATTTTTCAACTTACTAATTTATTTCTGGATGGTGACATTTTAATTTAAATAAACAGCAGCTGACAGCATGACACTGGAGTTGTTAATCCAACTATTCTTGTGCCTCACGTGGGTGTTAGGAATTAAACTTACTATTTGCTGAGCAGTTTACCTGACAGGAGTCAGATTTTTTTTTTTTTCTGTCAAAAGAAAGGATTAATACACTGGCTTTATATTTTTCATTTATTACAAAAGATCAGTGTGTTACCATCCTTTAAAAACAGTGGACATTTTCTCCTAGACTACTCTCATATATCTGAACTATTAGCATTGTTTACCAAAATAGCACATACACACACACACACACACACACACACACACACTGAAATTGTTATAAAACTGATTAATTTCAAGCAACTAGACAATATGAATGTGTTCTAATCAAAGCATTCACTTTTTACAATGCTATAATCTTTTAAAAAATAATATTCTAATATTTGTTCCAATGTTTCTTAATTTGTAATGTGGAACTGCTCTCTAGCATGTTTTGAACATTTTCATTTGTGATCCTCTAAAGATGGAGTGTGTTTATATATACAGGGTGGGGGAAAAATAGGTTTATAGTCGTTTGTATGGAAATGAATAAAATAACACGAATAAACAGGGTTTCACATACTCACAACTGTAAACCCACTTTTACGCCACCCAGATAAGTATGTCATATTTATTTAGCGAAGATGGCGGATTGAATTGGCAGAGAGTTTGATCAAAATATACAAAATATATGCAGGTCCCTTTCAAAACTATGTTTGTGAGATCCAGATCATTGCTGGGATAATGTAGCCACTCACAGACTTATAAGTTTGTCCCTTTCAATCATACAGAATCTGTCAAATGCATTAGGATTTAAATAAATCGCCATTGTTCATGCAAAACTTATCGCACAAGTTGAGAGAGTAACAGCATCAACATTGCAGAAATCCAACATTGCCTTCACTTGTGGCATTGACACGCATGCCTTCTGAACCCCAGGAATCTGGATTTTAACTGTTTCCAGTGGATTTTAACTGTTTCCAAGGTTTTAATGATTCCTTAGCGGTTCTTATCCTCTGGGAAGGAGCGGGGGGATCAGGTTATTTCATCACCTTTCCTATGCAAGAGCAAAATAAAAGAGAAAAGTTAATTCTTTGTTTTATAATTTTTGCAGGTTAAAATGACTCTTTTTGTCAAGAGCTGTTTATGTTGTGTGTGTGTCTACTGTACTAGCTCATCCTCAAATGAATCTGTTTAGGCAGATCTGTCAAAGGTTCATTTTTACATGGAAAGATGAGATCTTTGGTTGTTCAGCGTAATTTTTGGACTGGTTTATACACATGCAATCATCCACCTCCTGAATTTCCCGATTTCTTTGTGCGATTCAGAAGTCATATTTGGTTCGTTGCATCACTCCCAGTCACTTTCAATAGATCGATTATCTAATTTTTATATTTAACTTTTTCCAAAAATTCATTATTGTTACCTACACTAGTGTTCACTTATATAAGTTCAACACAGATAAAACTTTCAATCATCTCTACTCACACCCCACAGACCACTGACTCGTTTTCCAATTATAATGTCCATTCTCAAATGATCAAAAACAAATGTCAAACATTGAATTAGCACCAGAGTCGTAGTCACTCAATATTTTTCAGCAATTGATGTCTGCTTTACAGCAGCCTTAGAGGAAGGAGTGCAGTTGACTTTGAAATCTGGTTTGCCTGGAAGGTGTGGATTTAAGGCTAAATTCTGAGGGGATCAGCTTCTGGGGAGATAGTGCAACTGGAGGTCATTAGCAGTAATCAAGGGCAAGCCATTCAGAATACCCAGTCCAAAGACTTCTGGACTGAGAGAACCTCAAAGAGGTTTTTAAAGCATCTCATAAACTCAAAGCCAATGTCAACATGAATGTAAATAATTCTTTTGTGCTTGAATAGTGGATTGAACTCATAAACAAAATACTAAATAAGAAAGAAAAGAAAGGAAGGAGGGAGGAAGAGGTGGAGGAAGGGAGAGAGGGAGGGAGGGAAAGATGGAGGGAAAGAAAGAAAGAGAGGAAGGAAGAGAGGGGAAAAGGGAGGGAGGGAGGAAGGGAGGAAGAAAGGAAGGAAGGGAGAAAGGAAGGGAGGGAGGGAGAGGGAGGAAGGAGATTAAGAACAAAAGAGAGGAAGGAAGGGAGGAAGCCAGTTTCATCTTCTCTAGGTGTAGCTTTGCATTTCATGGCATATCTGTGCTAAAATTGGCAGATGTTCACTTTGAAAGTAGAGCTGCAAATCATATAAGCCCCAGCACCTCCTCATAATTCTGAAATGAAAGATGACTTTTTCTTGAATTTGTTCCCTTAAGAGAATAACCTTGTGACACAGAGAAATTGTTCCCATTCCATATTATACAAAATCAACATGAATCCCTTCTGGTTATAATTCTTTTAAATCTCCAATATACAACTATTTAAATGTTAAAAATACAAATTCCATGGTATTTTCTGATTACGAGTATTTTTTTTAATTCTAATAATTATAAGTAATTTATCTTAAATAAAAAGATAGAAGATGGTGCACATCTTTAACCTCTAATTTGATGATGGTCTGATAGAATCGTCTACACATTACTTGGCCCTCAGTTATCAGGAAAAATAAAAAGATGCTCTCCACTCACTTGACATAGCTAATTTCAAAATTTGATATAAAAATATATGCCTGCTATTTCCTTTGTCTAATGGAATGATGGAATGGTAGGCTTTGGACAGCCAATCAATATGAATTGAACACTAACTATATGCCAGGACTTGACCTGGTATTGGGGATCTAGTGGCAAACAATGCCCTACCCATCGCTCTTTTTCTCTCATGGGGTATTCTCTCTGGCAAACACAAAAAAATGTTAGGATTGCATGAAAATACCTCAAATCCTCATGGCAGAAAGGAGCCAGAAGAGAGAAAAGAAATGGAGCTATCTTAATGACAAGACCTCCACCAGAGACAGGAAACATCTGTCAAGAATTCCAGAGGAGTCAGCTGGGAATAGCCCTGGTGCTGCCTGGAGAGAGTGGTCACGTGGCTGGACAGGTGCAGGAGCAGATGTGGAGAAACCATCATTCTGCCTGAGAACACCACACTTGGAACCACACCTGAGAGAAACAGAACTTCAGCGGCCAGTGTTGGCCAGAGGGCCTTGCATCATTCTGTTGTCCATCTTGGTCTTCCAATATGAGCTTTCTAGGATTTTCTTTGCAATGCCAGCCTCTTGTATCTCATACAGAGAGAACTGGGGAAATCTGTCCCAGATGGTGCATTGACACAGGGACTGAACAAAAATGTTGTATTTCTAGGAGTGAATCAAGGTCTCGTGTTGAGGCTCAGAGAATATTGGAGAATTATTGTTTGAGAATACGGTAGGCGACAGACGGCTTCAGTTCTTTTTCCTCCAGGAAGGAGCTTCCCTGTTACTATAAATGAAGCTAGTGGAGGCTAATTTAAGCTTCATCACCAGCTATAGAAGTTGAGATGTACTATTTGGAATCAAGTTAATTATGTCTGGGTTAAAAAAGATTCTGATTTACCTCTTTTAATATCTTCTTTCTCTGATCAATACTGCAGTATATAAAGTTAGTTTATCATAGGAATATCACAGGCACCCCCCCCCCTAAAAATATAGAATAACCATTACTACTACATAGGATCTAGCCAATGTTTGGTGTGTAATGCATAGTCACAGAATTTTAAAATCATGATTGTCATTTACTTCATTTGGCAGTGACAAATAATTCAATAATTATTTTCTCAGATATTACCATGGAAACACTCATTCTACTCACAGACACGCAGCACGCAAGCTAACCCTCTTCACATGAAAAATCATTCATCCATTTATTAAACTGTATTTATTGTGCATCCTCAAGATGCTAAATATTCTCATATGAACCTGGAGAAACAATATGAGAAAGACCAAAAATGTTCTCTCTTCTAGAACTGTTTTTAAAACTGATTTTATAGAGGAAGGGAGAGGAAGAGAGAGATGGAAAGTAATGACAGAGAAACATTGACTGGCTGCCTTCTGCACGCTCCCCACAGGGGATGGAGCCTGCAGCCTGGGCATGTACCCTGCTGGGAATTGAACCATGTCCTCCTGGTT